TTTACAGAACCCCCCCCCCCCCCCACAGATAGATATCTACATAAAAACTCCAACCATCACCCAAGTCAAAAAAGAAGCACCTTTAAAGCCTTGGCAGACCGTGCAAAAAGAATCTGCGAACCCCACCTCCTCCAAGATGAACCACCTCAACTGGGCTCTACAGGCCACTGGATACTCCACCTCAGACATCAGAAGAGCTGCAAGACCAAGAACAAGCCATGAGAATAAAGATGAAGATCCACCCTGAGGAAAAGTGTTCTTGCCATACATCAAGGGAACCACTGACTGCATAGGGAAGCTGATGATGAAACACAACATACAAACCACTTACAGACCCACCAAGAAAATCCAATAAATGCTACGTTCAGCAAAGGACAAGAGGGATCCTCTCACTTCTGCAGGAGTCTACTGTATACCATGCAGCTGTGGACCAGTCTACATAGGGACCACCAAACGCAGCGCCCAAACGTGCATCAAGGAACATGAAGATTGCTCCAGGCACTGCCAGGCCATCAAATGCCAATCAAGGTGGTCAGTTGAAACATTCACACCTAGCTCCAGCAGACAAGAGTTCTTTGTCCCACCCTGGTCTTTCCACAGATATATAAACCCATTTTCCTAGTTCCGACAGACCTCACTACCTCTGAAGATGCTTGCCATAGATGCAGGTGAAACGTCAGGAGAAAATGCCTCTAGAACATGGCCATATAGCCCGAAAAAACCTACAACAACACAGTGATTCCGGCCATGAAAGCCTTCGACAATACAATGCTAACATTTCTTGTTGCTTAGTTCAACAATTAATAAATTGTTGTGTAGAGAAGAATTCTGTGAACTAGGTTATCTCATAAATGGAAAGAAGTAACTTTCCCCTAATCGTCCTTCCCCCGTGGTCTCCAAAAACTGCTCTGGAGAATTTTCAGAACAACACATGAGGAGCCAGTCATTGCTACAAGAGAGAGAAATCAACAAATATTCATGTGTCAACTCCTTCCTTCAATGCAGAAAGGTTATGAGTTTCATGCATGCTATTACATGGAGTGATGGAATTGTTTTGGGTGATGCTATTTGAGATGAATTGAGCAGATGCTTTATGAATTATCAGGAAGCATTCAGTTGTGTGTGTGTGTATGCTATCAATACAAGCCATTTCAGGTAAAATTCAGGTAAAGTCTAAAGGTAAAGTTCTCTGGAAAGAAAGAAAATAGCCAAAATATTTCCAAGAAGACATTGGTATTGGTAACAACTTTCCTTTTTAAAGTAGCCACAGGGACATGCTTTAGACTTTGCTATCTCAGAGTTTTCTAAAAAGTAAAGGAAGAGGCTGGCAATCCTGATTTCTTCCCTGCACTGAAGACAAATGCAGTGCCTTTACCTGGCTGGAATGCTGGGTTCTTCTAGGTGCTTAAAGAGTCATTGTTAATGTCAGTGGGCTCTTTATTTACATCTCTTATTATAATAGCAGATAATATAAATAAAAGGTCACAATATTACATGATATAGGCCTTAGAGATCATCTGATGGCAGAGGCCCTTCTGGATTTATTCCTCAGTGCTGGATTCTTTAAATTCAAGTGGTTTATGCTGATATCTTTTTTTTTAACCAGAATATAATAGTGGTGGTGGTGACAATGAAAGTGATCCATTTTAGAAGATACAGTAGCTCTGAAACTAGGAAGACAACTTTATTTTCTAATGAAAATTGATTTTGTTCTCCCTATGTTTTCTGCATCCTCTTCTACAATGTACTGTTTCTACCATCATTTCCCTGTCTGCTGTCATGAATATGATGGCAAATAGCAACTGGGCCATAATATCCAAAATATTTTATACAAAGAAAGCATTGAGAAGACTGTAATCCAGTGGTGTTACAACAGAGGCTTTGAGAGAAAAATCCATATTCTTTGGCATCTTTATGTTAGAAAAGAATCCTGTCTGTAACCATGGAGAGTCATTGCCAATCAGTGCTGACACTATGGAGCCAGTGAAACTAGTGAGATGATTTACGTTTAGGTAGTTTTAGGTCCCCTCTAAACTGACATATAATCCAGATTATCCAACCAGATAATCCAGATTATCTGATTTGAACCTGGATTATATGAATTTACACTGCCATATAATCTAGTTCAAAGCAGATAATCTCCATTTTATATGACAGTGTAGAAGAGGCCATAGATGCAAAGACAAGAATCTTCTTTCTCCTCCTAAAATGGGGTGCTGAAACTGATTTCTAATTATCAATTGATGCATTAATAGTCTGTACATGAAATTGTGGCAGACAATGTTGTGATTTTCCAGCTGACATTTTAAAAATTCTCCTTCTAGCTTTGCTATTTACTAGCGAATCAAGTACTACTCACTTGTAGACCCTTGCACTGAGGACTCTAAGAAACTGAGTCCTCAGTGCAAGAGTAGCAGAGTGCTTTTGGGTCTCTTTCCCCATTTGTGTATGTCATTCACCTGGAGTTATAAATGGGAGAGAAACTGTCATTTACACTGGATTATTGCCTTCTGCAGATTTGAATGGGTTCTTTAGAGCTATCCTTCTGTATTTTTCCTCTGGCAAATAATTTTGGAAAACTGAAGCTGACTTTCCCTTTCATTGTAACTGACTTTCCATTGAATATAGTCATCTGTGTGTAGACCCATTTTTTACTCTGATATTGTAAAATTTACTTATAATGTGTCTTTCCTGTCTTCAGGAGATGGGAATAAGAGATGTATCAATTGTATCAGTCAGCTATAGCTCAAGGCTCTATTCAGCTACCCAGTCTATTAAAAACCCAGATATATTTCAACCTTTAGACTGTTCTTCAATACTTTTCACATGCAGGTATGATCTGTAGGAAAATATTTCTTGAATGATTCTCTCTTCTGCCAATGATAAATAATAGCCAATTTGAAATCTGCATCCTCCAGTGCTGCTGTGTCACTTTTTTGTAGATGCTTTCTGTGAATGTTGTTTGAAAGAAGTTGATACAGACACCCACTCCTTTCCCTTTCCTTTCCTACAGAGAAAACAGATGTAACTTCTCCAAGATAGCGGCCACCTTTTCTGAAGCAAAAAGACGTTTGTTCTCTTTTGAAACATAGCACATACATCTTCTTTTAGGCACAAGTCACCAACTTCTTCTAGAGCTCTAAATTTTATAGTTAGCCTTCTGGGTTTAGAAAGAGATTTCATTCTTTCACACTGAAAAAGGTGGAACTTTTGTGATTTTTTTTTAAAAAATAGGATAGAAGCATAATTTAAAAGTAAACCCAGACAGGTAAACCTTTTGGGGTGGGATTCATTCTCCCCAGAATAATATGTCAGGGGTGCCTGCTGGAGTTGGGTGATTGAGAACATTTCTGTATGGCTTCAGCAGGATTCTTAAGCAGATCCTGTTCTTCTTCTTTGTCTTCAAAATGAGGAAGAAGAATCTTAGGAAGACAGCACTATCTTGAAAAATGTGTAAATGTATGTTTATTATCCTTGATTATATTTTTACTTAATGGAAGACTCTGGGTACCTGTGGTTGGTAGTTATCTTTTTGTACTTAATGGCATCACTAGAGTCCCTTGGGGTCAGGTTTTGGCTCTGAAATCTCTGGCCTTAACATCTGGGTTTCCATTCAGACCTTAAACCTAGGTTCTTTTAGAAAGTTTTTTTCTCTTAATTTTCCTCAGAAAACCGAAAAAGCACATAATTATTATAAAGAGGCATTGACCTCTTTCTAGGCAAAGGCATGTGGTCCTATGTGCTTATACACATTAATGGGAAAGATTTCTTGAGCACATTCACCTCAGTTAAATGCTGAGTGTAGGTGTTCTTTTAATATTTCAAATATGTTCACCAAAATGAATAGACAAACTCTCAGTTTAAGATAGAAAAATGTTTCTATTGCAGCTCCCTGGTTTTTCAGCTTTTTGCATTTTTCAAAATGTATTTGAGATAAAATTATGGCTATAGTGAAGTCTGCAAAGGTTTTATTCAGTATCCATCAAATTAGACTGTTCCATAGCTTTGATCTCAGAAGAAGAAATCAGAAGATGCAGAAAGAGAGAAGGCTTTTGGTTGGAAATTCTTCAGTCCGACATCTATTTTCATATAAGTTTTTAAAGATATGGACAGATAAGTATATTAGAACATTGCTTGGAAAAGCTGCTGCTATTTTGGGGCCACACTTCCTAGAATTTCCCAACGTGTATAGGCGGTTTTTGTATGCTAGGTCAGGGATACAGAGACTATAGCCCAAAACGTTTTTGTGAATTTGTTTAAAGCTGGATACTGGATCTTGCATCATAATAATGTCAGCTACATACTTGGAGAGGATTGGAGAGGTACCTAAATACTTTTAAAAGGTACCTTCATGGATTTTTGTAAAAACTACTAAAGTTCATAGTATTTGAGAACCAGTGTGGTACAGTGGCTTGAGTGTTGGACAACTCTGGAGACTAACAGATCCTCACTTGGCCATGTAAATCCACTGAGTGGTCTTGGGCAAGCCACACTCCTGTAGACTCAGAGGAACATAAAGGAAAATCCCTTTGAATAAACTTTCCAAGAAAATACCATGATAGGCTTTCCTTAGGGTATCAATAAGTCAAAACTGCTCAAAGGTACACACAAGTCAGGTTTTATAAACAATGTCATTTTTAAGTCACAAAATTGTAATTTCAATTTGCTTTAAATGAGAGCCCAGATTTATGCCCACCACCCACCTATGATATAAATAAGAAAGGCTACTTTTGTAGGATTTCCTGAGTATCTGAGTGCATGAGTGATTTGGAATTCTGGCAGCATTACTTAATGGATTTAGATCAATTTATAATGAGGTATTTAGGGAAGGAGACAACATTACAGAGTTCTTAATTTGGGTGCTCTATATAGGCATTTAATAAGCACTCTTGTGTAATAATCTCAGTGTGTAACTGTACAGGGTGTGATATATAACTCAGATGTACTGAAAAACCATGAACTTTGTACTCCACAAAAGAGATAAACATTTGTTTACTTACTGCGTGAGAACAATAGCCACAGCATCATTTAGGACACTTTCACCAAAGAGGAGTGTGTAGAGATCTGTATCAACATGAAGTTCATGGAAAATAGCCAGGACAGTCACTAGAAAATAATAATAATAATAATAATAATAATAATAATAATAATATGCTCAGATATTTTTGAAAGCATTAGTTAGTGCCCTCCAAGAAGGAAATATTTTTAAAAATTTTGATGATTTTATAATGATAACACTATGTAACAACATTTGAAAATATGTTCTATTTCTGGTTTGAAAGTGTTATTTCCTGTTTAATTGTGCAGTACTTAGTTTGAAAATATTATACTCCAGAAACTTCATTTTTGTGGCAGCCACAAACTATGTTGAATTGGTTGAGACGCTATCAGATATTCATTGAAAAACTATAGCAAAATGTGCTGCAGGATGTCCCACAAAAACAAAGTTTTGCAGTTTAATAAACCTTTTCCATGTTTTTATGATAGGACCAATTCAGAAATGACATTTACAACCCAGGTAAAATTTGTGTTACATTGTGCAATCGTTACGCTTCAGTAATACTGCTTTTAAAAAAATCCAGTAATAAAATTTTCTCTAGTTTCTGAATAGTATTGCACCAACTTCTGTCTCTGAAGAACATCTGTCCCCACCTCATCTGTGCCTTTCGTGTGGTTGAGTTACAACCCCCATCATCCTTACGCAGCATACCTGGAAGACATCATTTGTTAGGTTGGGGAGTTTGTGTTCAGTAGAAGTTTGCTTTTTTGGACATTTATTCATCCATTCATTTTATTCTGACCTCTTTTTCTCCCAGCCGAGAACATTAGCCACCATTAAAAAGCCTAATGTTCAGTTGGCTAAAGCATATTTTGGAACAAAAAATAAAGTGGTGACATCTGTTACCAAGACGTTTTGATATAGAAACATTGTTATGTTCTCCTATAGTGATTGGAAAATATACAAGACTATTGCCCAAGCCATTTTGCCAAATTCATCTCAGTTCACTGTCGGAGACATTATGCAGTGTATCTTATAATAGGCTTCTCTTTTCAAGGAGCCCTGATTCTCACTCTCTCTACTCAAGAATACATGGACTTAGGCTCGTAGGATTTTCCTCTCATTCTGACTCCTTATTCCCAAGTGCAATAGAGTATCAAGTGTGGAAATAAAAAATTATAAATGTCAAGTATGGAAAATGATACATTTGAGACAACCGATGACTAGAAATTAGTTGCTTCTTCTAATAACACAGGTACAACTATGCCCCATTATGACTGCCATTGAACACCACTGTTTTGGGGGTATAACTACAACTTCTAAACTTGCTTATATAATTAACAAGGTTTTAACTTCACTAAATCGCTGAGGAAAAATAGGACATCATTCAAGTACTGCCCAGTGCTGTTTGTCATGCTCAGCTGTGCTCTGTTGTAAGGGCTGAAATTATGATGCTGGGGGAAGCAACAACAAGTGTGCAGGGAGTGTGTTTTTTTTATCTCAGGGCAGTGGCTTGCAGCATCCCAATTTTCAAAAAAAGCTAAATAAAACCAATTAATTTATTTACTTTTGAGAAGTAAAGTAATACCTTTAAAAATCAGGCCTGTACTGATAATAATTAAGATGAGTCATTTTCTGTGCTTCTATGGAAGTTTATGGGAAGGCTAGACAATCTGCAGTCTTCCCATTATTTCTTCCATCCTTTTTATTGCTCACCACAGAAAACCATTTTTAAAAAAGTGGCAGTAAGAAGCCAGACCTTGGAACTGCTAGGCCATTAAATGCTAATCAAGGTGGCCAATTGAAACATTCACACCTACCTCAAACAGACAAGAGTTCTTTCTCCCACCCTGGACATTCCATAGATATATAAACCCATTTTCCTAGTTTCCAACAGACCTCACAAACTCTGTGGATGCCTGCCATAGATGCAGGCAAAGTGTCAGGAGAGAATGCTTCTGGAACATGGCCATACACCTGAAAAACTCACAGCAACCTATTTTTTTTAAATGGAATAGTTACACAGTGACTTTTAACTGTGAGTGGTGGGAACACCCTGCAATTACTGTCAATACATTTGGAGTTTGATTATTTTTAAAAGCATTTTTTCAAGCTCTAAAAACAAATTCATAGTCACTAGATATTGCAACCTTTTTCAATATTTTACTTATTTTTGTCCTATTCAATTTTGAAGGGATTTTTATATTATCTTTTCCAGTATCTTCCCAGATTGTATATTCTACGTATCTAGCAGAATGTAAAGGGAAGCAGGAATAATTGATAATTTGCTGGATTGCTATCAGCAGACTGTGCCATCCAAAACAATTTGAGGGCCAAACTATCCAGGTCAGTACATACTTTGTAATGCAAGGGGATTTTTTAAAATAAAAAGGAAGTAAACACCAGCTGGAATGATTAATGATTACTGGGATTACATGTGGGACAGAAGACAAATTTTAGCCTCTCATTTCCCTGATGTAGCCTTTAGGAAAATTACACAATCTCTAGTATGGATTTCACTTATGTTGCACAGGAATTTCATCGAGGAAAACTGTTTGTTCTAGCTTAGCTTTCACAAATTGTACCTTATGTGTTTATCTAAACAGAATTTTTTAATCTCCTTCTGCTATTACATATGAAAAGCCTGCTGCTGCTATACATATTTTTGAAGATTTTCAAAGAAGGATTTCCATATCAGCATTCTTTCACATAAAGGGTGAATTCTAATGATCTGCAAGATTGGAAAATTACATAGCACTTCACTGATTTCACTTCATTGCTGCTCACTCTGGTACATAATTGTGCAACCAACTATGTCTCTACAGCAAAGGAATCCCAGGGTGTAAGACTGCCTCCAGGTTGTCAGGTTAACTTCTGACATTTCATGAGAAGCTGCCTTTTTTGTACTGGAACTATTGGTGTTTATATACAAAAATCATCATTTTGCATAAGTAATTCCTTCTTGAGCAGGAGGAAATTTATGTCTGTCTTATTTCCCAAGTATTTTTTGAATATTCTTTCCTTCCCTAGGATTTTGCAATATTTCTAGGTGAGTGTGTTAGATATCGTTTATGTCTCTGATCAATCATTTCTCCTCTAATTTAATACTATGGTGTAATATTTCAGAAAGGTTTTCTAAAGTCAAATGCCCCAATCTGGATCTGTATGAAAGGAGAATGCTTGGAGTCTTTCTTGATGGCGATCGCTTAAGCAACTCTCCTCCTGCTTAATTATATTCTGGACTGATTTCTATTATATTTTATTGTATAAAATACAGTAAAACATTATTTGGGGTGAACTCCAATTGATCCCTTTGAAATTCTTTGATAATTAAGTGAATGGTTTTCCTTAAAACTACCCTCCATCTCTTTTTTCTGTGGCTTCTCCCTCACCCCCTTCAACTTTTTGCTAACTGGAAAGTTCCCAGACATGCTAGGCTACCATGATTCCCAGGCAACAATTCTATTGCATAGTCAATGTGTAGGGAAATGCCCACACCACACAATTATAAAGTTATTTTCAACTTTAATTACCATCACAACAACCTAAGAAATGCTGGGGTTGGTAGTTTTTGATGGAATCACAAAATTATTTGACAGAAAGCTCCAGTGCCTCACCAGACTACAAGCCCCTTGAATTATACTATTGGTTGTTGATTCTGATGCTTGTTTTTATTATTGTTATAATGTTGTTTAACCTCACCTCTGAGGATGCTTGCCATAGATGCAGGCGAAACGTCAGGAGAAATGCCTCTAGAACATGGCCATATAGCCCGAAAAAACCCACAAGAACTGAATGTTGTTTAATGTTGTTTTTATACTGATGTTATGTATTTTGTATATGTTATGTTTTAACTTTGTTGATTGGGTTAGCTCCATGTAAGCTGCCCAGAGTCCCTTTGGGGAGATGGAGGTGGGGTATAAAAATAAAGTTATTATTATTATTATTATTATTATTATTATTATTATTATTATTCCATAGGTTGTTGACATGGCAGTTAAAGTAAAATAAAGCACTGTCATTGTATAAATTACCTTACATTTTTAACACCCTTAATCGTTTATTATTCATGTTAGCTTATTAAACAATAATTTATTTTTATTTCATGTCAGGAGCAATTTGAGAAACTGCAAGTCACTTCTGGTGTGAGAGAATTGGCCGTCTGCAAGGACGTTGCCCAGGGGACACCCAGATGTTTTGATGTTTTATCATCCTTGTGGGAGGCTTCTCTCATGTCCCCAATCGATAATGTGCCTGATGTGTTATATTTGTATACTCATATTTTAATTTCTATTATTTGTGGGTTGTTTTATAAGTTTATATCGATGTTGTCTATTTATTGTCCTTTATCTGATTTGTTGATTATTTGTTTCTTCTGGCACTGAATGCTTGCCATTTTTCATTGTAAACCACTCCAAGTCCCCTCAGTGAGATAGGATGGGTTATAAATAAAGTTGTTGTTGTTGTTGTTGTTGTTATGATTATGATTATTATGTGAAGCTCCCACTAGAGGAAGGCAAATTGTTCAGTGATAAATAGAAACATTTTAAAATGGCAAGTAAAAAAAGTGCTCCCTGAGGCCAACAGTGGCAATGTCCATACCGTTCTCTTTGAATCCCATTGCCTTTCCGAACATTGTTTTAATCAATCAATGAATGACACATTACCAAATTAAACAATTTCAATTATTAGCATTTCTGCTTGTGAATTAACTTTGCAATGTTTATTGTTTCACATCATAATATTAATTTTCAGAGCTTCCATGGAAAGATCTGCTTTTTTGTCCTGCCCCAAAATGCCCCTTACAAAAACCTGCTGAATTTATTTTGCATGCTTTGTTACTTAAGACATTCATAATGATTTTATTTGTAGCAAGATTGACAAGTTCATTGTACTCATGTTAATAAATTTAAAAAGTCATGGACAATTCAATTTTTCCAAAATCAAACTTTAGAGGCATGTAGGAGAAACAGGCTTGGTAGTATTCCAGCTGAATTACGCTATTTTTTTTTAAAAAAACTGTCAGATCAGATTCTGAATGAATTTGTATGGACATCCACAATACTTCTACATATTTTAAATCTAGACAGTGGCAGTTAGCTCAAGT